CTTGCAGTTTCTGAGTCGGGATCTTGGGCTGCGACTCTGCCATTGTTGTGCTCGGTGTGGCTTTCTGCTGTGGGAAGGGCTCGTTGTTGTTTTGTTTTGCCTAGTTTAGTTTTGTTTAGTGTATGTTTGTTTTGTGTTGTCTAGTTTCGTTTTGTTTTGACTCTTGTTTTGTGTTTTTTGGTTTGGGTCGTTGGCCTCTGTGCTCCCGAGTGTCACCTTATTATCCTATTGGGATCCGACACTCGGGTATTACCCTGTTGGGGTCCGACACTCGGATATTACCCAGTTGGGGTCTTGTAGTTGTTTTAGTTGTTTATGTTGTTGGTTAGTTTAGTAGAGTGTGTTTTTATTCTAGCGTTGCTAGCCGGAATTCTAGGCGGTCTTCTTAGATGTCCTCCATCTTTTTCAGTTGCTACCTGCTGTGTATTCATTCGTTGGCTGTTGTGTATTCATATATTTGTGAATGTAGAATGTCCCATTACATGTGTTGATGTTTTATTATTCATAACTTTGTGTGTCGAATTCTGTTGATTCATAATTCTATGTGTTTAATTTGGAGTAGCAAGTAGATATGAACTTCTATCTATGCATAGTAAGGTTTTAAATTATAAAACACTTGACCAACTTAATCTACAAATATATTTCTTTCATACTTGTTATTTAATTTTATAGAATCTCATTAGGAGCTTAAATTTAACATTTATATTACATGTATAAATAAATATGTATATTTACCTTTATAATAATAATAAATATGCATCAATATTAATTGGCAAATAACAATTTTATTATCAATTAAATAAACGTATATATTAATTGTTTTATAATATGACTTAGAAAGTCACCATATAATAAAACGTTGAAACATTATTATAACATCATCAAGTGATAATGTCATTTTAAATATAAATAACACGTCCAATAAGAATGATTTAAAATGACTTCCCTTTACACGTGTTTTTTAAAACTAGTTATAATTTTTTTTATTAGCATTGTATAATACGCTGAGATTTATTTATTTCTTTTTTTTTTTTTTTTNNNNTTTTTGTCGGAGCGATAGAAATGCCGGTGAGATTCAAAGTACCATCTTTGAACTCTATCAATATCTATTACGAGTTTCAAAGTTACAAAACATTTATCATACTTAGATTATAAATATATTTTAAGTTCATAATTGTTTTATTTATCATCATATATTCGTATAATGACGACTTTCAATTTGATATTCATAACGCGTATAAAATATATAAATAATTATATTTTTCTTTATTAAAAAATTGAATCATCTACTATTATCGATTAAACATTTAATGAATAATTTATCAATTCAGAAAAAAAAAAATCTATAAATTCATTACATTTGAATTAGAAAAGTAATTGTAATATATGAATGGCATATCATTCAATTAAATAATCTCGTTTTAAATATAAACTAGTACAACACCCGTGTATTACACGGGTGCTTGCTAATTTTTTTCTTAAAAT